ATGAGACAGCTTCTGTTATGTTAAGTGGTTCCAGGACAGCTGGAAGCCCAGGTTTGGGTTTATCAACTTTTCCCCAGACAATGCATTCACTCTCTGGTGGTAGTGTGACATTGTCCTCCAGGAGCCCATGGGCCACAGAGTAGTCCCCCTCACTTCCTCCAATGACACAAGCTGGGATTGGCTCTTTACCCACAAATCCTTGGCGACCAGCAAAGACTGTCATCTTGGCTGCCTGCATTGCATCAAGGCCTAGGAGCAGAGCATCATGAATCCGGCCAACAAAGACCATCCAGTTGAACTTGTGTTTCCCGATTCCTAATGTCACCTCCAACTCACCCAAGGCAGGCATATTGCTTCCCACTCCTGCATTACGGAGAGAAGTTTTTGTTGAGTGGCTTCTTTGCTTCATGTGGCAGCATGTTATAAACTTCTTCTGAAATTTCTGTGGCTTCCGTGCCAGTGTCAACAACTGCTTTAACAGGTAGGCCATTGACAGTCATTTCAACTTGCAAGCTAGGACCCTTTTTAGTTGTACGTTCAAGTTGTGGAGGAAGGTGCTGAGCCTCCCTACTTTCGACGCCCCTGTGATATTCAAAAGTAGACTCCCTGGAATTGGTTCTGCGCTGAATTGGACTTGGTGATCTTGAACACTCCCTCATCATATGCCCAGCTTCACCACAACGAAAACAGATGGGCTTGTTCATTTGGCTTGGGCTTGGTGACCGGGCTCGGGAATTTTGAGCAGGTAGCTGACGTGATGCCATCTTGTCACTTTCTTGTTCTTGTTTTCTGTTGGTATAGGCTGATGTAGCAGTTCCACAATCAGCTGACACGGTCTGAAGGCGTTCTAACTTCAAATTTAGCTGCTCCACTTTGTCCATAAGCATTTTAAACTGATACTCTGTTACATACTTTGGGCTCTGGAGGCGTCTGGAGGTGGGGCAAAAGTCGTCAGGAACATTTTCACCTTCAACAGCCCAGGAAATAAGCCAGGCCCTCCCTGCTCTCATCTCAGCCTCATGACCCAGAGTTGCTTTAAAATTATGTTCGTTGGCTTCAGCAAGCTTTTGTGCCTCAGCCAATGATGGAGGGTCACGATTCATTACTTCATAAGCTACTTTTTGGTTCCTTAGGCCTTTCAGGAAGACATCAGTTGCCAGCTGGTCCTGGAGTAATAAATCTGTTCCTGGATATGCCAAAGTCACCAGGTGTCGCATTTCCTCTGCAAACTCTGCTGGTGATTCTTTGCACTGACACAGTTCTCCCAGCTTCCTGCGAAAAGCGGTAGGGGGGTCTTTTACTCTAAATCTTTGAGTAAGCTGCTCCTTGACAAGAGTGTAGTCTTCACTGATGTGTTCAGGCAAGGAGCAGACATAACGTATTGCAACCCCACGGAGACATTCATGAAGCTTATCTTCTCTCTCTGCCCCTGTCCATCCACATTTACGAGCCTGACGTTCAAAGGGGAGTAAAATGAGTCCCAGTCCTCTCTGCCGTCATAGGTTGCCAGCTTAACTTTGGCTGCTTCATGTAGGGGTTGTCTTGCCACCTCATGCCGACTCTCAGTCTGACCAAATCCTCTGTATGCATCCTGTGAAATAGGATGTGTCGCAGATGACCACTGATGTATGTCTCCCACTCTACGCCTTACAGTTGGATCATGGATGGCTGAAGTGTTGGATGGACCTGCATTACGTGACCTTCGCCAAATTACCTCCAATTCTGCAGTAAACGGTGTGTGTGGTTGAACACTAGGTGCTTCTGGGTTTTCTTGCTACATTAAGGGAGGAGGGGTAGTTCCATGATTCGGGATTTGGCTTCTTATTGTTGGTTGCACTGCTCTAGACGTCTCTCTTTGCTCTGCTGCAACGTGCTGTAGCACTGGAGTTAGCAGTTGCTTTAACCGTTTTGACTGATGGTCCAACAACATTTGCGGAGGTTGGTCTGAAGGTGCTGCTGGAGCTTCTAGTAGTTTGTCATTTTCATCCATTATAATAATTATTTTTTTTAATAGTCACTTCTGCTGCTTTGTTTTAGNCTTTGGCACGTCCGGCTATTGTTTTTNTAGTGGGGCCATGACTTTTCTTGACAGCGGTTTTTTTGTTTTGTTGTTTTTTTGTAACTGCTAACAAGTTAACGTTTCTCACCGAAACGAACAGATACGCTGTTTACACAGCTTAATCTTGCTTTCAGTCTTTGAGTTCAATACTGGCTTGCTTACTTCTCTGGACCGTACTTTTCCTTCTTTTTGTCCTCCGCCTTACTTTTATTGGAGCGATTCATCCGTAGCAACCAAGACGTCCTTCCGTGTCTTGAATCCGGTCCGGAACAATCCCACTTCTGACACCAGTTGTTACGACGGCCACGGATGGATTGTAAAGGTGCAGGATAATAACCACTCCAGGAGGGAATAATGTCGATCTTCTTTGAAGATAATGGAACCGGAGTACAACTGGATAGTTAAAATGCTCTAACGCCGACGGAGACGAACTTTACGCGTCCACACCAGAGTCAGCGAGCATCCAAAACTGAAACAAAACATTCCACCCAGAACACGCATCCGCTGCATGCAGAATTCTGCATGCAACAAAGTAACATTGAACAGTAACACACTTAAGCTCAGATCAGCCTAGTCAGTATGGGAAATAATGCAGAGATAAGCAGATGCATACAAGTACTACANACATTAAGGGAGGAGGGGCAGTTCCAGGATTCAGGATTTGGCTGCTTATTGTTGGTTGCACTGCTCTAAATGTCTCTCTTTGCTCTGCTGCAACATGCTGTAGTACTGGAGTTAGCAGTTGCTTTAACTGTTTTGACTGATGGTCTAACAACATTTGCAGCCATGGTGGAGGTTGGTCTGATGGTGCTGCTGCAGCTCCCAGTAGTTCCTCATTTTCATCCATTATAATAATTATATTTTTTAATAGTCACTTCTGCTGCTTTGTTTTAGGCTTTGGCACGTCCGGCTATTGTTTTTATAGTGGGGCCATGACTTTTCTTGACAGCGGTTTTTTTGTTTTGTTGTTTTTTTGTAACTGCTAACAAGTTAACGTTTCTCACCGACACGAACAGATGCGCTGTTTACACAGCTTAATCTTGCTTTCAGTCTTTGAGTTCAATACTGGCTTGCTTACTTCTCTGGACCGTACTTTTCCTTCTTTTTGTCCTCCGCCTTACTTTTATTGGAGCGATTCATCCGTAGCAACCAAGACGTCCTTCCGTGTCTTGAATCCGGTCCGGAACAATCCCACTTCTGACACCAGTTGTTACGACGGCCACGGATGGATTGTAAAGGTGCAGGATAATAACTACTCCAGGAGGGAGTAATGTCGATCTTCTTTTAATGAAGATAACGGAACCGGAGTACAACTGGATAGTTAAAATGCTCTAACGCCAATGGAGACGAACTTTACGCGTCCACACCAGTCAGTGAGCATCAAGAACTGAAACAAAACATTCCTCCCAGAACACACAACCGCTGCATGCAGAACAAAGTAACAATGAACAGTAACGCACTTAAGCTCAGATCAGCCTAGTCAGTATGGAAAATAATGCAGAGATAAGCAGATGCATACAAGTACTACAATATGTTCCCAACTGTGGCTAAAGCTGCTGCTAGCTGGTTTACTCTCCGATCGGAGGCTGTTTATTTTATACACAGTCAGAGAATGGTGGATTGACAATGAGTAATAACAGCTATCTAACACTTAAATGCTGTTATTATTAACCTTACCTGTTATTATATCCTTAAGATAATGAGTATCCGTGAATTTTTCAGTCAGGTTTCCCGAAGCAAAATCACACCGGAAGTAAAGATACACCGCTTTGATTTATGGCGGCCATTGTCTGACTTCACTGTGAAAAGGGTCTATTGTGGGGTTATAGCATATTATATTTTTAATCTCAATAGTAAATTGTTAAACAATCTGGTAAATTCAACTTTTGGGGGTCAATAATTTATATTTTGCAGAATTGTTCATACTTTAACATGCAACCATCCAATCATCTATTAAGTGTATGCTTGATGGATGAAAAAGACCAAATGTTCTTTTCCATCCATTTTTTGTAAAATAATGACTTATTGCGAAGTAGTATGAATCTGTTATTCCATATGACAGTGGAGTGTGGAAAGTATTTATCTACATGGAGCATTTTCAAGTATAGTGACACTTGTTTATGGAACTCTGATAGTTGAATGGGCAATGTATGTATACTGAAATCAGCTAGAAGTAGCAGCTTATGAAGTCATTTAACAAAACTCTATATTTATTTGTTAAATATATAATTGGGGACACAATACCAAAATAATTGAGAATTTTTTAATCCTAAGAGTTCTGATAAGGCTCTCGAAGTCAATTACTTTCAGACCACTATCTATACTTTCTTTGACCATGTAACCTTTCCTTAGGTAGTGTGCTCTGTTTCTCCAAATAAAGTTCATGTTCATTTGATTGATAGTTGTAATTAATCTATTTGAGACAGCAATGCTACAAGTTGAATATACTAATCTCGACAAATTTTCCATTTTTGATGGGTAAGTTGGTCTTAAAATAGGTTTATTTGGAGCCATGAATTATGTTTGGAATTACATTCTTCAATTTTATTTTCAAGAGTTAACAATTATATGGGTTTACACCCAACTTGGAATTTTGGACAATTTATTGTTTTAATTTAGTTTAACACGAGACACTCTGGCACATATGCCACAATTTGTACTGTTATTTTCTTTGTGCAAGAATATTGTGACTGTTATTTTCTTCTTCCTATGTTTTAATTTATGCTCCCCTTGCCAAATTTTGTGATATGTTAACAATTATGTGTAGTTGTTTTTTTTACTGAAACAAATAAAGAAGCAATAATAATAATAATAATAATAATAATAATAATAATAATAATAATAATAATAATAATAATAATAATAATAATAATAATGGCAGTTCCTGTCTATGGTTCCTGTTTGCGGCAGAAGCTGCGGAAGATATTAACTGACGGACTTCCTTTCAGTCCGTTAGGTAAAAGCAGCCCGTCAATCTGATTCCAGTGGCGTGAACTGACAGAGTTTGAGGGTATTTATTACATTTGCAATTGAAAGTTTGAAAGTTTGAAGAAGAAGCCTTATGATATTGATTTATATTTAGCTCTACTATTTCAGACGTTTTTTAAGGAGGTTGAAGGGGGTATTACAATAAGTCAGTTAAGTTAAATAGTGTACTTTGAAAATACATACATTCACGAAGTTAAATATGTGACCTTAATTCCGTGTATATTAACTAAAAATCCTAAACTCTAAACAATGAAACTTACGTTAGAATTAATTAGGTTGTGCCTTTATATTTTTCATATCTAGGGTGTTTCGTAGCTGAGGATGTGGACTAAAGGTCATTGTCCAAAGGCGAGGCTGGTAGCAAAGACGGCCACCAAACTGTGGTCCAGCAAGCCCCCAGAACCTTCCCGCCCTGTCCCTTCTGCTCAGCCCCGGCCACAAGTCCAAAAACGCAGACGCAGGCAAGGACGGGAAAAGACTATTCTGTCAGCTCAACATAATGTAAGCCAAGTATACTAAGCACACTGACTGAACTTCTGCAACATTATTATTATCTATAAAATGAACAATCAACAAAACAAAAGAGACCAGATATCAAGGTTAATAAGACAAACATTAGATTTTTCAAATCATTCAATCAACTCAGTAAAAACGACCTTTTTCAGGTACAATTTTATTGGGGAAATATCAAAATACAAAGGAAGAAGCTTACAATCATACTAAAAAGCAAAGACTTTATAAAGTATATTTCATGGGATGAAATATAAATATCTGGTCTATCAACATTTTAAATAGTCAGAAAACTAACTTTAAGTGCATAAAATGCACAACAGATTAAATTTGGTCAATGCTAATAGACAAGTTGCGTCCCAATGATTTAGCAGTTTGTGGAAGCACCCTTAGTGGCACTAATATGAGGTAGCTGTACAGAGATAGCTACTCTCTAGTTAAGAGATGCTTGTTAGAGGTGTATGTATGGACTTTTAGTTCACTGATGATTTGTCCATTGGAGTTATTAAAGTATTCTGAATCTAAAATCTTAGTCATGTAATGGATATTGAGAGCAGGATCCAAAATGCAGAAGGCACCAGGTAGGGAGGATACAGGAATCAAGATGACTCGACTTTATTTATGCTGCAACTGAAAAACCATTGGCTTCAGTAAATTTAACCTTCACTGAAGGTTAAATTATTCACCTAAGGCAGGTGTAATGAATGGCAATGAGAACCAGGTGTGCCCAAGACATAAATTAAAAAACATAGATTAGAAGAAGTCAAAAGTGCCACTACCTAGCAGTATCTGGGACACTCGTGGGAAGTATGGCCACAGTCTTAATTATTTTCTTTCTAGGTGTAAAACGATAGACTTCAAATTGTCAAGAAATTGCTTTATACCCCTTTTCAAAATACAGTTGCTTCTCGAATGTCATTGGTGGCTTCATTCCTTTGTAGCATTGTGTTATTGCAAAACTTGCATACATACAGACCAGAAAAATAAACTAAAACTACTTTATAAAAGCATTTTCACTTGATAGTGATTAGAGCAAGATATCCGTGCTTTCTGTGAATCTATCCATCCATCCATTTTCTATACACCCTTGTCCTTATTAGGGTCGGGAGGGTTGCTGGTGCCCATCTCCAGCTAACATTCCAGGCGAGAGACGGGATCCAACCTTGACAGGTCACCAGTCTGTCGCAGGGCAACACAGAGACAGACAGGACAAACAACCATGCACACACACTCACACCTAGGGACAATTTAGAGAAACCAATTAACCTGACAGTGTTGACTGTGGGAGGAAGGCAGAGAACCTGGAGAGAACCCACACATGCATAGGGAGAACATACAGACTCCATGCAGAAAGACCCCAGGCCAGGATTCAAACCCACAACCTTCTTGCTGCAAAGCAACAGTGCTACCAACTGCGCCACTGTGCAGCCCCTTTGTCCGAATCTATCTATAAATCTATCTATTGGAACAGGAGCTGCTGAATACATGTTTTTGCTTTCAGAAAGTTGGAGATCAAACATTAAACTGGAGTGAAAAACAGAAAATAGCACACACGGCTCAAACACCTGCTGGGACAAAGAAAGGGATACAAATGGCTAATAGGATATAAAATAATTATATATCTAAGCAAGCCCAAGTACAGTACAATATTGCACCAATTTTTGATCTATGCTCACAGCATCTTCAAACATTTTTCAGTTAGAAGTTAAAATTCTATTGTACAACAAAGTAATTATCAGAAGTATTATTAACTGTGACTGGGTATTTAGAAAATGCATGTGTAATTAAATTTTTCATGTAGTGAAGTAACGTCAAGCAATGCCTTACTTAGTAACTTATCCTGTGAATTAAGGGGTTGTATTTACTGTTAGACCGCAGTTTATTTTAATTGAAAAACACAATTTCCTTAATAGTCCTGCCAGTACACATTGATGTTATGTGACCATGATCAAATAGACTTGAACAACAACAAAAAAAGGGGTTTTGGGAAGAGTAAGTAAAAACACAAGTCCATGTCATATATTTGCTGAAGATACTTTGAAAAATAAAAGCTCAGTCCCACCAAGAACAATCCAGATACCTCATAAACATATTAAAATACTTTCTGATAAGTTACTTTTTTTTCTTTTCAGGAAATCTGATTTTCCTTCCAAATATTGGCCAGACAGGCAAAGTATGAGTCAATATTGGATGACCACACAATATTCCTCTGGAAAAAAAATCCTACATATAACACTCACAAGGACGCTTGTTTTATATTTGGCATGTTACTGAACAAATTTTCACACTCACTCCTTGTTTATGACAAAAACAATTTTATGCAGCACTTTGCAAGCCCAATGGTTATAGACAAGCATGATTAAACTTGAGATTTTTGTAGTTTCTTTACACTACAAGTCTGTCTAAATGATATTGTGACAGTTTAGGTGCAAATGTAGGTTTTGTTTTGAGTATACACACGGACAAAATTGTTGGTACCCCTCGGTTAATGAAATAAAAACCCGTTAATTCATGGCCATGTCTTGATTTAACATGTTGCTTTGGTCACATTTTTTTCAGGGGTGCCATCATTTTTGTCCAGCCCTGTTTCATGAGTTTATTTTTTAACGTAATTCTATTGAAGCATGTTTGAAAAGCAATGTCTGACTTTCATTTGATCATTTTCATAAAATTTTTATTCATTATTATCTCGGACCATTGGGTTTTTCTTTCATTAACCAAGGAGTACCAACAATTTTGTCCACATGTGTAATTCGAATCTATTCACTAAGACTTTATTGTATCCACAGAGACACTGCTAAGAAACACATGCCAATCATAAATTTAGGTTGTTCAGTATCATCTCACAACAACAAATGATCCAACTAACTTTGTATTTTGGTGATATTGGAGTTTTGGATTTCTGCCTGTTAATACATTCATTCATCTTTGTTATTAATTTTATCTATGATGTGTTCAAATTGGTCAGGAGAGATTGCCTCATCGTGTGGATCAGACATTTTCTTTATGTATTCTTCCGCCAAACATGACCGGTACTCTTCATCAGGGTCATGCTCTAACTGTAGCTGTACATGACGCTCTGATTCAATGGTAACAGTCAAAAACAGGTTTCATTAACAATCTGATGCTTAACATTTATCAAAAATATTTTTGAAAAGTTTTCATTTTGTCATTTGCTAGAAGGTTGCAGGGTCACAAAGTTTTGTGGGTGTTTGGATGTGACCATGCTGGAATTGCAACTCAGGTATGACAACTTTGTCTTTTTTTTTTTTTTTTCCTATGGCATAGGCCTGTGTGATGGACTGAAAATTAACTTAAACTTAGATTTATGACAAAGACTGACATCATTTTATAGATCATTTTGGTGTTTTTAAAAAATAAAGAGTTGTTTTTGTCTTTTTTGACTGTAAATGTAGGCTTTGCTCATGTTCCTTAAGACGCCGCGCTACTAGTACAGTTTGTAGTCTCCACTCCATCCAATCTGTAACAAGAAGTAGACTCTGAGGCTGAGAAAATGGAGGAAATTTCAAATATTGAAGTGGCAGTAGTGCTAGTAGAAGCAAGACTGTTTGTCTGCAGCCTGGAGACTTTCCGTGTCTTAGCAGTTGTCGCATGGAGTTTGTCAGGTGATTTTAAGAATAGAATTAGAATTTGTCACTGAACATGTACATTAAGATAAAATCCAACAACAAATGTATAGAATATAAACATAAATATGATGATATTTACAAAAGCAACTAATACTTGTATGTGGTATCCTGGACACATCTAGGAAAGGTCACAAATGTTCCATATTTTCTCCAATTTTGAATAAAGCATTACATTGTGTTTTGATTGAGTCAAAGCCTTACAAATGTCTTGGCACCCTAAGACAAACTTATAGAAGTTATTGAAGTTGTTTATGTGTTTTAAATTGGAACATTATCTCCCTGTTATGATATCTCTTGGTGTACTTCAGTTTGTCCAATAGGTCAAAGGTTGTATGATTTTTCCAAGATTTCTGTTGAGACAATATTCTTTGAAATAAATTGTTACCTCTATATCCCTCCTTGTGCTGTCTAGGAGGCAGGAATATTCATCGTGTGAGACACAATTACTATGAAAACAATAAAGAGGCAATTGAAATAAAACTACAAGAAACTGTTTTTTTTTAATAAATCACTTGAAAAAGAATAAAGGAAAATGTAATAATAATTTTGACTACCACTGGGCAACAACGTTAAATCAGTACAGGGCCCTGAAAATGTCGTATTTCTATAGATTTCAACAAAATCTTGACTAAAACAACTTTGACCCTTCTGCTTCTGACACAGGTGAAATTTGAAAATAAAGTATATTTTTCTAAAATGAATTGATAGCAGTTAATGGTTCAGGGTTTCCTTAAACAACAACAGAACCCCATGATGCCTGGGAAAATATTCCCACTGGCAAAACTCTGAGACCTGATGACTCCCTGCAAAATTCTAGAAAGAAGTTCAGCCAGTGCTGATCTGCACACATTTCATAATTTGGCTTGACATATTAACTCATTATATTATAAACCATGACCATGTTTGCTATATCTTTGTTTTTTGTCTTTTCTGGAGAAGAATTCTTACAGGAAGTCTGGAAATGGAAAAATGAGTAAATTTTACTTTTTGATATTTCTTCAAACCAATTTGGGGTAACAGTTACTTTGAAGGGGTGTGTATAAGTTTGACATGACACTGTCATAAACATGACAGAATACCTGACATGAACATGAAGTCTTCATGAATGTTTATGACTGTTATAATTAAAGGCACTTTTTAATATCTGATTCGGTTTTACCTCAAGTAGTGAGCTTTTCCATTACATAGTTTGTTCCTCGCTAATGTGAGCGTAGCGTGACCATGCAGCAACTGTGGTCAACTCTTTGCTGATGTTTGCAGTGACACAAAGGAGAACTTTGAGGTTCTGCTTCAGATGAACTCAGATAAACCCAGATATTTTATTTTGTTTGCATTGCTGGCCCTAACATAAGCTGCAAAACACTCCCCGTTCAAAAATTGTCTTCCTGTTCCTTGATGATGGTCTGACTGGTTAACTGTTAAGTCAGGATGTCATACAGCTGTAATAACAAAGTGTATGATGACTCTAACTCCTACGTCTGACATGGTTCAGATATAGATGGACGCAGGGACTGGAGCAGTGAGTTCAGAACCTGTGTTTATTGAGGGATCTGTCATGAAGTGTGGTTGAGGTGGTGAGGAGATGACGCAGGCGGACCCAGGATGTACGAATATGATGGTTTTAATAAAGATGATGCTCGAAACAGTCCAAAACAGGCAGCACGGCAGAGAGACGGGCACACAGCCAAATACCGGTAGCAACTGACACACAGGACTGGAAACGAGAGCTAACGCTTTCCAGGACTTAACAGTTCTACTAGAGCGAACGCAAGACGTAAGACCTAACTTAGACAAGGATCCGACGAGGAACACAGACAACAGGTGGGTTTAAATACACACGGGGTAATCAAGGGAATGAGACACACCTGGGAAACAATCAACGGGGAAGACGCAGAGACAGACTCACAGGGAACAGGACTACACAGAAACTCAAAAATAAACACACAGAAACACGGAACATGACAGGATCGGCTTTTTCACAGTCAGACAGGACAGGGTCAGAGCCAGTGAATCCAAATCTAGATCAGGCAGTTCCTGACCTTTCTGTCTGGCCCTGTCAGATCTCAGGGTCAGACTGAGAGCCATAAAGACTATTGCATATTTTTGGCAGTCTACATGCAAGTTGGTGCACTGCTGCCTCTGTCTGGTAGAGATGGCGAAACAGCCTTAAATAATGTCATGTTTCAAATGCAAAGTTCATAAGCGCTTTGTAGACACCTTGCTGGAATACTGTAGGATTAATTAGATGAAAAAAGTCAAGACTGACAACAAATGACACAGTAATTTAACATTAACACATAAAGCTACATAACTTTTTAAAGTTTGATAATTACTGCATGTCATAATATATATAGAACATATGATTTCTTGGTTAGTGTCAAGTTGTGATAACAAAGACATTTTAAACAATTTCAACTTTGCATTAAAGTGTCGTTATTTACTGAATGACAGTTAATGACAACAGTTATAAACATTTATGAAGACTGCTTCATGTTCATGGCAGGTGTTGTGTCACCTTTGTTGCCATCCCTTCAAATAAAGTGTTACCCAATTTGGTTGAATGATGTGCTCAGTGTTTGCTTCTGTCCCCCTGACCTCTTCTCCTATGTCCCAGGAAAGGAGAAGAGATTTATCACCAGCTGAGGAGGCTTGGTGCTTCTCTGGACTGGAGCAGAGCCTGTTTCACTATGGATCCAGTGAGGCTTTTAATGACATATATTCCTACCATGTGATACTATTTTTTATAGTAAGAGCCTGTACTGTCAAAATATCTGTAATGAAATAGTATGATACCAATTAAATAGGTGTCATACTATTTAATTGGCTACAAATAGATATATTCTAGAAACTCAACAAACACACTTGCATTTTTATTGTTACTGGTCTGTGTGATACTATTCTCTGTATTAGGACAGAGTGGTTTAAATGAAATCTTGCAC